ACTCATTGTTATACCAGTGGTTTATCTCCATTATATACAGTCTCTGGTCTATCATTCAAAAGTTTGGGTCAGTATGATTTTTTCTTAAGAAATAAATAGTTTTATTCAGAAAATATGCATTAAATTGATTTTTTTTTTAAATAACAGTAAAGACATTCACAATCACAATATTATTATTTTTTTACTATTATTATTATTATTATTATATAACATTTTAATATACAATATAATATAAAATATTAAGCAGCACATCTGTTTTAATCATTGAAAAGCACCAAAATCAGCATATTAGAATGATTTCTGAAGGATCATGTGACACTTAAGAATGGAGTAATGATGCTGAATGTAAATTCAGCTTTGCATCATAGGAATAAACTACATTTTTAGTTATTTTAAATGTAATGATATTTCACAATTCTTACTGTTTTACTGTATTTTTGATCAAACAAATGCAGACTTGAGAGCCTAAGAGACCTCTTTCAAAATTATTATTTAAAAAAAAATCTGTTAAAAAACTGATAAAAACCTGTGCACCCTGACTCCTTGAAATTGCATAGAGCCAGCCAATCAAACTGAAGCTTGCGACTTTGACAACTCTCTTGCCATTTTTGTCTGCAATATGCATCAGCTGAGATCAAATCTGTGGCTGAGACTGCAAAAATCCCATTTTAAAGATACAACACCCGTTATCAGAAACTCAGCATGCAAATCAAGCGCTGACTCCACTCATCTGTGTCACAAGGTTTCAGTACACTAAATCAGCCCCGTGCAGGGATGCACAAAGCTTAAGGCATGTTAAACCTTGAGCTCACAGCAGCCTTCTAAAAGCAGAATAGGAATTAGCATTAGAATGCTGTCTATTTGTACACTTTTGTCAGGGGACAATTACATTAAAACAAACTTTCACAACCTGCACAACAAGGTTAAATAAAGCTGTTGCAGCAGTGATAATGATCCATGTTTACAGTGAAGTGTATTAACAGTAGCTACCGTACAGTATTAGCATTATAGTATTATATCAGCTACAGGCCAATAGGCCCATGGAGCAGTTGAACACTGACATTCGGTCGACAGAGCAAACAGATTAAAACAGCTTAAGCGTTTCATCTGCATCAGGGCAGAGGAATCAGAAGTCATACTGTTTTTTACAATCACATCATTACAGTTGTGTAAAAAGCAAAGACAAAAAACACACTAAAGCCAAAGCTTGGTAATGCTGTGTGTTTTAGCTTGCTTGTGTGGAGATGTATGTGCTGAGTGCATGCTTTCCTAAATTGTGTGTGTTCTTGATGCAGTTGTGTGTGCATTTCTCAGGCCAGCTGTCCACTGAACTGTTATGTAGCAAAGCTTATGTAATACAGCAATGCACATCGCCCACATGCACATCCTGGTCACATCAGCATGTCACAGTAGCTCAAGACAATAATACAAGCACATCATGTTCTGGCTCTGCTTATTTCTGTGAAAGCAACTGCTGTTCGTGTGTAAATGTGTATCGAGCGACCTGTGTGAACATTTGTGTTGCACATATAAGCTCAACTGCATTTGCATGGCTAGATATAACAGAGTCCATCATAAACATTAAGTTGTCTATGTGCCAATAATTAGAGGAATAGTTTACCCAAAAATTCTAACTTTCTTTTGTGCAACACAAAAGAAGAGATTGAGGAAATATAATACTTTCACACTGGACTCCATTGACTTTCACTGTATAGACAAAAATACAAATTTTTCAAAATATGTTCCAAATAAGAAATAAAGTCATACAAGTTCTGAAACACACGAGGGCGAGTAAACAATAACAGAATTGTCATGATTGGGTATGTATCCCTTTAAATGTATGTGTAAGGCAGAAAGAAATGAGAATAAAGAGAGAGAGAACTATTTTAAGTATAGCTGTGATAAATGCAGAAATTGTGTGTTTGTGTAAGTGTATTCGTACACTGCCATGCGTGGTGTAAACGCAGGTGTGCGTGTCTCTCTTACCGGTTCCTCTGGGTACATGTTGTCTTCGCAGTGCTGCTTAGTGCAGAATATCCTATAATGGGAGACGCAGCAGCAAGCGACTCTGAACTGGGCTGGATGCAGGATGCTAGAGCCAGTGCAGAGCGCAAATACACACGCACACAAACACAGAGCATCACTCTCCTCACCCCCTCCTATTCAACACAGTCACGTCATGCTGAACATCCCGACCCAAAATCTCTCCCGCTCTCCCTCTGTTCTCAGAGAGATTAAGCAAATCTTCATGTGACATAAAAGACAATCCTTCTGTTCACACGCACAGATTATGGAAGGAGCTACAGACAGAGTTTTCATCTCTTTCTCCCATCAAACTCTCTCTCTCAGGAGAGTGAGATGTATTGGCATGTCCTCCATGTTCCTCCAAGTGACCTTTGGTCGCGCACATTAACAGACACATTTGCACAAACAGAACACGCCTTGCTCAGTTTCAAAGAGTCTTTACCTATGGCATACTGAAGACTACTGAAATGCCATGATGCCAAGACCCTTATTTTGGTTGGAGGATTTCTGATGTTTACAGGCAGTCCATCATGAGGGGATGGGAACAGGTTGGCATTTAGACAGTATTTACAGTGTGACGGAAAATGTGAAATTTGTAAATTGGTAGAGAGATGTTGCTATACCATTAAAACAACAGAAGATATATTTAATCAGCTATCACCATGATTTTTACATTACATTGACAAAGAAACCAGGTAAAAACAGAGGGTGACAAATCCCAAACAAGTCAAGAGGAGTTACATATGCAGCAAATATACACTACCGTTTAAAGGTTTGGGACTGGTAATATTTTTATGTTTTTCGAATAATCTCTTACGTTTACTGAGGTTGCATTTAATGAATGAAAAATACAGTAAAAACAGTCATACTGGGAAATGTTATTATTATTCAAAACAACTGTTTTCTATTTGAATATATTGTAAAAGGAACATTTATTCCTGTGATGCAAAGCTAAATTTTCAGCAGCCATTACTCATCAGTCTTCAGCGTCACATGATCCTTCAGAAATCATTCTAATATGCTGATTTGCTGCTCAAGAAACATTTCATGTTATCAATGCTGAAAACAGTTTTGTTGCTTAATATTTTTGTGAAAAGCTTGATATATATGTTTAGGGATTCTCTGATGAATATAAAATTTAAAGGGGTCGCATGTTACGATTTCAATTTTTCCTTTCTCTTTGGAGTGTTACAAGCTCTTGGTGCATAAAGAAGATCTGTAAAGTTGCAAAGACTAAAGTCTCAAATCCAAAGATATATTCTTTATAAAAGTTAAGAGTCAGCCACGCCATACGACATACCTACGTCACTATCTGGGAAGATTTGCATCAGAACATTTTGTTTTTGCTTCAAATTGGGTTATTAAATCAAATTATGTATATGAAATTATATAACTAAATGATATGAAATGATATAAATTATATGTATATGAATTTATGTATATGAATTAAATAACTGTAATTACAGATTTAGGTTAAATAAAGATGTCAGTCTTTATTTTTCTTCTTTTTAGGAAACAAATCAAAGAAAAAATAAACAAATTCTACTGTTCCTAGTATTCTGTATGTTGCTCAAAAACTAAATATATTGTGTTCAGCTGATGTGTTCAGCTGATGTGTTATTTTAAAATAACACATTTTAGAGCTGTAACGACAATACCGTTAATCAGAGCATACCTCGCTTTTCAGACCAATGAGGTTTGTAAAAATCGACGCGTTTCAGAAAGGCGGGGCATAGAGGAGAAACAATAATGTACAGTATGTGGAAAATAATGTGTTTTATGAACCTTAAACCGCATAAACACATTTCATTACACCAAATACACAAAATAATGTTCTTTTTAGCAGCATCATATGACCCCTTTAAAAGAACATCATTTATTTGAAAGGTCTTTACTGTCAGTTTTTATCAGTTGAACGCATCCTTGTCAATTAAAAGTTTTTTGAACGATAGTGTATCTGTGTGAGTGAGCATTAAAAACAAAGCATTCACGCCATCCTACACATGCCATGATGACACAACAGCAAATATTTGCTGTTTAGCAGAAATGCTGTGATGACACAGCAGAAGGATAAGACAGAAAAACAGTGGGAGGAGATGACGAAAATAAGAGCTTCAAGGAAAGGAGGGAGTGTGACTGTGAGAGAGAAAGTGAGAGAAATAGAGAGAGAGAATGAAAGAGAGCAATGGCTTAAAAAAAACTAATGAGTAACTATGGCAAAATAAGAGTCCAATACGGTGTCGTACAGGAATGTGTTTAAAGAATGAACATGTCTACGTGTTTGTGTGTATCAAACAGATCGTAAGTGTGTCAGCTTTTCTTAAATCTCTTTTCAAATAGCAGAAAATTTGCCAATTAAACTCATCTAAATTTGTATTATTTTTTAGGTCAAAATACATTCTCTACACCCAGTTTATTGCTCATTGACTACCATAAGTATGCCATACATGAGTTTATATCTCCCAAAAAGTGTAAACATTGAGCCTCCCAGGCACCACCAAAACATTTAGAGCGGCCTACTAAGATCCATCAGCCACTTTTTAGATCAAACAATAGCAAGAGTTTGGGGCGTGGCTACTGTAGGGAAAATAAATTCAGATTCGGTTGCAGAAATGCAAGCAAAAATTTGAAGACTTGCCAAAATTCACAAAGACAGACAATGGGTTAAAAAAAGGGTAAACATTGACAGTATTTTTACGAGATGGAGGAATTTGATCAAGTATTCGGCCTTTAATTGAGACACTAAACTTGTGGAGCTTCTTCTCAACAGCTAAGTTAAAGTCAAGTTTTGCCGCAAGTTACCTCTTTACAGTCAAGCCCCAGATAAAATAGTAAGATACTGTGTGATAGGGTGTGATGAGTGTAAAGAGCGTTTGCAAACAAGCTTTATTTTTTGAAATTCTGCTAGGTGACACTAATAGCACAGGAACTTAATAACATCACCTTTAATGAGTGGGTATACAAGTGATTCTCACCTGTAGGTTATCAGTTGAACCGCTGCTGAGATCATCCCCGGATTCTGAATCATTTCGGTTCTTATCCAAGCCGCCTCCCTCTCTGGCAAACTCTTCATGAATTGCATCTTTTTCCAGTCCTCGACTGCTCTTCTCTAACTCTTTATCTCCATCTACTTTGTGACTTGGGGACTCGGCTCTGGAACGAGGAAGTGAGCCAGGTGAAGTGTTCATTTGTGTGGGGGGGACGAGCGCCGTCGGGCTGCCCGGGCTGCCTCTGTCATCCCTGGGCGGCAGTAAAGCACTGCCAGAGGGAGAGGGACACGGGCTCTTTTTGTTGTCATATGGCCGCTGAATCTCCAGGCCAGATGGTCGAATGGGTCCAGTCCCCCCTCGGCCTGCTGCACCGAGGGGTTTAGGAGGGGGCATGAGAGCACGTCGCACCTCCCGCACATACTGCGCTGGGACATAGAAGGGTTTAGTGGCCTCATCCTTGCGCACCTGCCACCAGTCTTCATTGGTCTTCTTCACAAGCACGTAACTTTCCCCCTGTTTAATGGTTATCAAACGGTCTTTGGATTTGTACTCGTAGTCATACTCCACCTCTATGTACATCTGACCTGGAGCCACCGAGCGGTCCGCCATTGCTGTCAGAGGTCAAAGGTCAATAGCAGAAGGAGTGGGGCATGTTAAGGTGTGTTGGGTTGAAATGGAATCAGCTAAAGGAGAAAGAGAGAGAGACAAGAGGACATTTTATCAGAAATATCAATGACTGATGACAGGATTGAAATGTTCTGCGATTGCAAAGTCAAGGCAGTGTTGCGGGAAATGACTGAAGATTAACAAATAAATGCTTGGCCAAGCAATGTCATTCGGTTTCCTCTTTGACTCAGAAAAAAACGGATAATAAAAAATTATCAATTAAATTGAAAAAAATAAATACAATCAAATTAAATAAAATTTATGCTGTTGATTTTCCAACTTCCAGTCACTTCCTGGAATGTGATGTCATTAAACTGGCTTGTTAATTTAATTGATAATAAAGACTATCAAAATGGAAAGCAAAACTTGAAAAAAACAAATACAATTATTACCTATTAAAATGACAAAGAAATAGTTTAAAACATTTGGATTGAAAGAAAAAGAAACAAACAAAGCTATTAATTAAATGATGTAAACAAAGAGACAAACAATAATTAGAGTTCAATATTTTGACCCATATATTAAAGATACATATCTCTTTCACCTGAACAACTACTCTCATGAACGTCCGAATGACCTCTTTTCTATACAAACCTGCAAATTTAGCCTCTAGGGTTGCAAAAGGGGTGGAAAATTTCCGGTAAATTTCCGGTAACTTTCCAAAAATCCCTGGAATATTCCAAAAAAATCCTGGAAAGTTTCCAAAATTTCTGGAATATTTCCAAAATTTACTGGACATTTTCCACCTTTTTGCAACCTTATGTGTAAGGTGCACAAATAAAAACATGAAGATAAAAACTCCTTCCTGTGAGTTCAAAACATCCACCACTATGGAGAAACCAGGATTTTGAAACAAAGAGGAATGTGCTTCAGGGTACAGTATATGAACTTCAGCACACAGCAAACATCCAGACTCAGGTGTCTTTGACTTGAGCAACTCATCCTGATTGAGACACAATTATGAGGTCATGTAAATTAAACAGCAGATTCAGTGGCCTTTTCAGTGATTTTTTTTAACAGGTGACAACTTTAAACACACACCATATACATTCAACTATGCTAAACATGACAATATTACACAAAACAAAACATATCTGTCGTAAGTACTACTCATATCTGCAGGGCCAAAAGTTTTTAATGTTGGCACTGAAACTTTTAAGTAATTACAAAAAAGCGCAACAATGATTTTGCTAACACACACCAAGGACTCTGTCACATTACTGATACCATCCATGTTAATAAATCTACATTCAGTTCTGTGCTTATGCTGGGATAATAGCAATTTTAGTGTTTTTAATAATGTTAATGGTTGGTAACATACTGTAATTTATTTGTTTAGAGTTTACATAGAATTTTCCTTCAGCACCAGACACTAAACAGGACATGGCACATTTAATGTCATATATTAGAAATGCTCATTGGCAATAACCAACTGTAAAAGCCAAATCTGATTTTATGTTTAGAAAAAAAAAAAGTATAATAAAACTCTAAATAAAATCCACTGAACTTTCTTTGAACAACTGATTGTGCAGGAGGTCTTTCAGTCCTCATAACTAAAGCATTTATTTATTTCCACATGACTTTTCCAAGTTTCCCGTGACCTTGGGAAACCTGGAGAAAGATCAAAGCTTTCTTTCATGTTTTTGGACTAGCCAAACCAACCAAGTTTCATTCACAGGGTATTTTTATTTATCATGGGAAAACTTTTAATGAATGACAAGAATGCCAGTGATTCAGTTAATCGAATAAATAAATAATGCACAAAAAGTTTAAAAAGACAATGTAAGAGCAAAACGTGACAGAAGCTCCACCCACCCAAACACACACGCCCAAACACACACACACACACACACACACACACACAGAGAGAGCGAGAGAGAGAGAGAGAGAGAGAGAGAGAGAGATTGAAACCTCATTATCTCCAACACAATCACTCACATACACATACTGCCCCCCTGTCAACATGACAGTTGAAAGTGCTGTTATATAGATTTTAATCCAGGATTTAAACTCTGTAAAGCCGTTTAAATTCAGTGTTAAACTGCATGGCAGTACATATAAAAAAACGTTTTACAATTTGCCGTTGACAATTATCATTTCCCCCTATATGTGACAAAAGATTAGAAATTTCCTTGTCATTTTACCTCCGCGTATGACATAAATCTGTATCAGTCATATACACACTTCAAACAATGACACATCAATATCAAATGTCGCGAAATTAGCTTTCCCTGTCAAACATAATCCAACTGAAAAAACAAAGTCCAAAAAATAAAAAATCTATTACAAAAATAAAATAAAATGATAAAAACAAGGACGCTAAAGAGAAGATCTTTAATCTGAGGTGGAATTCCTTCCCTCAGGTGAGGGGCACACTTTAAAACTCACCTGTGTGACAGGTTAACATTTCAAATTAAACTTTCAAATGTAATTTTCTCAGCAAATTCAGCGTTAAAGTCTTTATACATGGTTATCTCCACTGGAAAGAGGTGAGTAGAACCTGAGAAAACAGGTTCGCTCTCATTCCTACCTGCTAACCAGCTAACACGTTTACAAAATCCGTAAACCCGATTAAACACCTATAATTGTTTCTATTTCCACAGGTTACCGACAGATTAACGTACCTGACGAGATATTCCAGGTGTTTCGTGGGCTAGGGTTTAAGAAACATGACCAGTTTGGCGTTCATTGGTCTTGCTGGGACAGTTGAGCGTCGAAGTTCCTTCCTGAGCCGCGGCGCGAGCGAACTCCTCCGGCACGCTCGCGCCCACTTTCCCCACGAGCGCGCTGACGGGCCGGTGCCTGTGTGAACTCACGCTGGAAAGCCGTATGACGGTAATCTGACGCCACCGTGAGGCTACTGATGAAAAACCTCACATAAGTAGGCTACCATTAAGAAACTGGGAATTCAAAAAGAAGTGCTCTCCAAAATAATTTAACTCGGCGTTTTTATTGCACTAGATAACAAAATGATCAAAACAAGTGTCTATTTAAAAAAAAAAAGACAACATTTTCAGGGAAAAAATGAAAATAATTGTAGGTTCTAAATTATAAAAACGATAGATATATTGTTCAAAAATTAAGACAGGAGGTATTTGGACACTGTCTGGTCGTCAGATGTAGAACATAATAGTTAACTAGCTATTCTATTCTGCTAGCTAGGGCACGTCCTCGTTCCAGATCTTGAGGGGAAATGACTTCATACACACATCAAAAAAGAAAAAAAAAACATACCAATATCTGGATTACCAGTGCTAAGTAAAACTACATATCACAATGTAGGCTACTATACAAAGAACAAAAGATAGAATAGAGACAAAAAACAATGCAATAAAACAACACAAACATCCCGGCATTGGTGTTTGTGAGTAATTTTAAATATGCAGTAATATATTTTGTAATTAATAGTTAAAAACTTTATTAAAAGAAGTGCAGAGAATCTGTAGTATAACCAATACATTAATTGAGCTTCTTCTTCACAGACTGCTCAAAATAATCTGAAAGAGCAAAGGTTACTCATACATTTCCTCCTGTTTGAACTTTATTCCATCCAGCACACCTACCTTTACTGTCATAAAATACTAATCTATTTTCTTCCTGCTCAGTCTGGCAGTGAAATTTTGTCTGATGTTTCTTTGTACTTTACTGTTTCTGTTGAAGAACTGCTGTCTCTGTGTTTAGTAAAATGGCAGAATCCAGTGTATATTTGGCTCATGATCAGTTCAACTGATCATTACCTGTGGACACAGTTACTGTATGAGCTGTATTACAGGTTACTGGGATCAGGATGATCAGAAGGGAGTCTACAGCTGCCCTTAATGCAGACAGACCTTCACTCCAAAACCTGTTTTAGGTAAAAACACCATGCTGGCTGAAGTGCTGTAGAAACTCAAGAAGACAAAACTACAAGCTGCTCGTTCTGCTCAATGTTATACTGGATCTAGAGATGTGGAGTGTGACGTCTGTACTGGGGACAAAAACAAAGCCATCAAGTCCTGTCTGGTGTGTCTGAACTCTTAAAATCATCTTGAACAACATGAGACTTTCTTCAGAGGTAAGAGACATAATCTAATGGATGCCACTGGACGACTGCAGGAGATGATCTGCCCTCAACATCAGGGACGTGCACAGACATTTTGAGGGGCAAGGGCTCAAGTGGAAAAAAGGGCACTTCTCATATTTATTAATTTTTTTTTCTAAACAAAACGTTAAATACATTAGGGGTGTGTGATATTGACAAAAAATATATATCTCAATATTTTCTGAGATTTTATCAATAACCATAATTAGACAATATTTTGCTGTGTGTGTTATTGTGCTGATATCTTAAGGACTACCGTGGACAGCTGACTCCTAAAGTTTTTGATATTCTGCATATTCTGTGTGGTAATCAGTTCACAGCAGTGATATAAATTAATCTTTTCTAATAAGTTTAAATTGATTTTTTACATTTTATGGGCATTTTTATCTTTATAAAGCCCATTTTTCTAAAAGTGTGCATCATCTTTTCAGTCAAATTCTTAAATTGAATCAGTCACTTAGAATAATAAGTCATTTGGGCAAATGAAATCAGTATTGACAAAATTAACCTTTGCAATGCAGAGAAAACACAGAAGCTGCATCAGAAGTGGCATTTAAATGCATTTACACACTGTTTAATGCAGGACAGGAATGCATTTAACCTGCAGTTACAAATGCATTAAAACTGTTTTGATATTTTAAACATAAAACATTGAATACAGATATTTAAAATTATTTTTTTTTTAAATGAAAAGGCACTTTAAATGTAAAATTAAAACTGTCAGTAGGTGGCAGCAAGTCACTGTTAATAAGAGAGTCATTGCGATTGAACCGAATCATTTATACAGTTGATTCATTCAGGAACGAAACACCGTCATGTTGCTCAGAGACACAAATTGGAATTATATATGTTGGCCAAATAAAGCAAAAACAGTCAATATTGTGTCTAAAACGTAAGTATCTTGATATTAAATTCTTGTTTACTGAACTGCTATATAAAATCAAAATTCACATTTGTAATCATGCTGCTTTTTGGTGGAAAAAACGTCAGTCTTAGCGTGATACTGATAACTATATGAAATGATATAAATATATACATTTCTGACCCCATATCTTGAATTTTGTGATCATTCTAAATGCATTTTAGTAAACTGAATCATGCAGTGAAAGAACGCGCACTGGTCTAACCGACTAGACTTTAGTTAACACACATAGCTCTTATGAGTCATGGATGCTAGCAAGACAAAGTAAGTCCACACCAAGACAAACACAACTGGAAAGGGAGGGAGGGCTTCACTTCTGGGGCTCTCTGCCTGTCTGTGGTGTGATCTGTTTTTATACAGTCTATGGGTGTGATGTGCCGATCAGTGCTACACTGCTGTGCTGCGCAGAGACGCGGAGGGGAGAAAGGCATCGGAACTCGACAGAGACTCAACATTTCCTGACTCAACCTGATATTTTGATTTTTTTTTTATTAGTTTGACAGGGAAAGCTGTGCGCAAACTTTAATAAAAAAAAAAACTCCCAAGAAAAAAGGGCACTTTCTCACGAGGAAGAAAAAGGGCAGGTGCTCAACCCCCCTTTTATGTCTATGTGTGCACGTGCCTGCTCAACATGAGAAACTGCTGGAGATTTACTGTCTCACTGATGAACACTGTATATATTATCTGTATACAATGGATGAACACAAAAACCATGAGACTGTATCAGCTGCAGCACAGAGGACTGAGAAAGAGGTATGAACTGATATTAGAGCTCCAATGCAATTATTAATATCAGTTGCAAAGTGATACATTTAAATATATATTATAAAGGGTTTAATTTATCATGCAGTAATGGCTGATATAAAAAGAAATTGGGTTGTAACACTAAAACTTAAAGTGATTTGGAAGATTAACAATAAAAAAAAGATAAACTCCTAAAATATATTTTAAGTTTAAAAGTTATTGGATTACAAACACATATATTGAACGATACATTTTCCAAAACAGAGACAGTTGAAGGAAACTCGAAGAGCTGAGAAAGGCTATGGAGTCAGCCCATTGTGGGGAACAGGCTGTGTGAGGCAGCAGTAAGAGCTGAGTGAATGGACTGATTCTGTTGTTGTTGTTCCGGATCCAGCAAGTCAAAGTTTGAGTAATGCCTCGATTGAGATCTTGCATGTCAGCAGCTCTTTGGCAACGATCTCCTTTTAACCGATGTGGTGGCCCGTCCAAATGTTCCAAGCTCCGAGGCAAATTTCTGTTTTCAGTGTGATGATCTTCTTTCCAATACTTCCTCCTCGGTTTCGGCCAGTAATCCACTTCCCACCTGCACCCTGGGACCCCAATGCCGGCACATCGGCTCCCCAGTATGCAGTAGCATTTTTGGTGTTTGCAATTTGTCACAGTTCCAACGGTTTCTTGCCTAGTTTCCCTGGTCACCCAGTTCTGGTCATCTTGGCGGGATGACCACTCTCCTCCTTGCTCAGGCCTGGTAAGGCCCTTGCCCCCAGGCTTGGGAACGGTACAGAGGAGTTACAGTGTCCTGTATTAATATAAAAGAATTTGGAATTTTCGCACTTCATTGTGTTGAGTTTTAGGGTTAGCGAAAATGTCCGTAAAATTACTAAATAAGGACCTGGCAAAAAATTACCAGTACAATTTCCTTTTTTTTTTTTTTACTGTCTAGTAAACTGCTTCACTGCGAATGAGGGAAATATGTGAATTAAATGTACTTCCACCAAAAGTCATATTCATATGCCCAGAATATTAATGTGATGTTGAGCAAAATGATAAAGGGAAGAAATGACAAAAATTGTTCAAAATATAAAAACACAACAGGTGTGGACAAATTAATGAAAAACCCATAACAACAAATACAAACTAAAAGTCCATGAAAACAAAAGCAAATCAGACAGAATGTCTGTCAATAATTAAAAGGTCCAACATAAAATGTAATAATTTGGGGTGGAGCAACCAGTTCTGCAGGTGGCAGCCAGGTATATTTGTTTGTTCTCTCTCTTTTACCCACTCCTGCTTTCATTTCAATGGAAGTGAAACTCATCCCTGCTTCCTAGTCAGTCTGTAAGAGCTTTACCTGGTGGTTTTTCCTTCTTGTATTTTGCTGTTTCTGTTCCTAAGAATAAGCTGTTTTTGAGCTGCTGTATGTATTCGTTTATACAGTATAATGGCAAAATCTAGCATTTCTTTGGCTCAGGATCAGTTCAGCTGTTCAATCTGTCTGGACCTAGTTCAGGACCCAGTGGTCATTCTCTGTGGACACAGTTACTGTATGAGCTGTATTACAGGCTGCTGGGATCAGGATGATCAGAAGGGAGTCTATAGATGCCCTCAGTGCAGACAGACCTTCACTCCAAGACCTGTTTTAGGTAAAAACACCATGCTGGCTGAAGTGCTGGAGAAACTCAAGAACACAAAACTACAAGCTGCTCATCCTGCTCAATGTTATACTGGATCTAGGGATGTGGAGTGTGACGTCTGTACTGGGAGAAAACATAAAGCCATCAAGTCCTGTCTGGTGTGTCTGAACTCTTACTGTCAAAATCATCTTGAACAACATGAGACTTTGTTCAGAGGTAAGAGACACAATCTAATGGATGCCACTGGACGACTGCAGGAGATGATCTGCCCTCAACATGAGAAACTGCTGGAGATTTACTGTCTCACCGATCAGCACTGTATATGCTATTTGTGTGCTATGGATGAGCACAAAACCCATAAGACTGTATTAGCTGCAGTAGAGAGGGCTGAGAAACAGGTATGAACTGATATAAAGGATTCTAATGCAAATATCAAACGTAAATCTGAAAAATATTTA